CACACACACGTGTGTGTGTGTGTGTGTGTGTGTGTGTGTGTGTGATCAGATGTGGTTAATTAGACCCATTGTTTACAGAGATTTTAGACCCTCTAGGAGCAGCTATAAAAGGTACATGTGACAAGACTACCATCTAGTGGTTAGAATCAATAATGAATATTTGGGGAAAACCTACCATTTGCATTAATAATTAACCAGATGTTCAGAAACCCAACCACCCTCCCAATTAAGGTGGTCCCAAGCCCTGGAGACATCTCAGCTCAGCCAGCTCTCCCAGACTGCCTGATGATTTGAGTTGAGAGACACTGGACTGATGACCAGGAATCAAGGTGAGAAAAGAGCAGAAGGAAGGAGAGAAGCATGCGTTATGTTAAAGACAACCACACAACACCTCCTCCAACCTTCTCTAGTGGCTGGTTGTAAGAAATGTAATAAACACTCAGATTCTTATTTGTACGATTTTGACGAATTCCTGACTCAAACTTTTATGACATGATAGAGATTTCTAACGTTTGAAGAAGTTGCTCTGAAAGTTGTAAAAGAGGATAAATATGAAGTTCCAACAATGCCACCTGCTGGCCATAAGGCGGTAAAGCGAGCATGATCTAAGCCTCTGTTATCAACAGGGTGTCCATTGTTATGGCATAGAAAACTCAGAACGCACAAGTTACACTAGTAATCACAGATTGTAATCACAGACGCACTGCACATGAAACCTTGGGCAACCTTATATTTTGGGTGCCCAACATTGAACCCAATAACACGGCAGTTAAGTCACTGAAAATACAAACAGCAGAAACAAAAAAGCTTTATTTGTTTGCTTCTTGGTATATTAAAATCCATTAAAATCTGGCCAGCAAGTCAGTGTCAACCTCACACAAAAGTTTGTGCTAGATCTGGTTCTCAGAGATAGAGATAACAGGATTGAGAGCTCAGCCATTGAACCTGTGACTGTAAACACCAGAACAACCAAATGAAGGTAGGTTAAGCATTCAAAGTAGCTAGCACTTCACAGAAGTAAGGAAATTGCACTTAAAGGGGCTTCAAAAATATGAGTTAGTGGTTTCCCAAATAGTGGGTGAATTTCCAAAGGTTATGAAAGAACATTTAGGACTAAGAAAGAATTAGACAAATAAAAATACATAGGGATACTTGTGTACATACAGGTGGCAGACACAAAAACTTGCATGTCAAAGAGAATATTAGGGGAATGTCAGCACATAAGTGATGTCAAAAGTCAAACATAATCTTCCTGGGATGGATGCTCAGTAGTGTGACAGATAAAGACCAGGAAACTCTCTCTCTGTTATAGGGCAATACAGGGTCGTGGCTATTACAAAATAGCCAAAATTATAGAAAACGAACATAAATTGTGGCAAAAGGAGTATTATTTTGTTTAGAGAGAAAGAACTCTGTTTATGTTTAAGTGCTACAAACAGGCTTTTGGGGAAAGCTGTTTATTCCCTTCTGTGGGATCTTTAAAGATGAATCCTAGAATCCCTTCCAGCTCTGTAATGCCATGATTTAATCCTTGGTTCTAAACAAAGGAACATTAATTCAGCGCAGGACATTATCACCAGAAAATAATATATTTAATTGGTAGCTTATGAATGTGACCTTGGTTAAAAAAACTGTCTCCACTACTTAATATTTTTTAGGTTTATTTATTTATTTTTTTTTGGGGGGGGGGAGAGGTTTATTTATTTGAGGGAGAAAGGAGAGAGAGAATCCCAAGCAGTCTCCACACTGTTAGTGCGGAGCCCAGCATGGGGCTCAAGATCACAAACTATGAAATCATGACCTGAGCTGAAGTCGGTGCTCAACTGACTGAGCCTCCCAGGTGCCCCAACACTGTATCCACTACTTACTAACCCAACGACCGGAAGCAAGCTAACTCACCTCTCTCATCCTATTTCTTTATCTGTAGGATGCCTTTTTCAGAGGGCTGTCATGAGGATAAAGTGGAATCATGTTTGTGAGCTGTTCAGCAGAGTGCTTAGCCCATAGCAAGCACTCTCAAAAGATGGAGACTATCATTTACTGAGGAGTGAATGAAAATTAAACTAAAATGAGCCTCTAGAACACTGCCTGACCCAGAACAAGCACTCAATTTTAATGAAAAGGTACGAATTGCCAGTGAAATTTGAAAGTAATACAACTTTTTTATCTTCATACAGGGGGGTATCATAGTATTTTAGGAAAAATTTAACCACTAATTATGTGTCTTTGGGCAAATCACTAAAACCTCTGCATTTCTGTTTCTTCTCTGCAAAATGGGAATGTAAGTAGATTAGATGACCACTTATGTCTCTTCCAATCTGGTTCTAGAAGGAGGCCCTAGAGAATACCAGAGCTTGGTATAGATAATAAATTGATAATATACACTCTATAAAATTCCAGTTATGAACTAAGATATAATCAGTGACCAATAGTTGAAGTTAATTAAAAACTTAAAATTCACAATAGACCTACAATATAAAATACCATAAACACAAAAGTCCTTTAATTACATAAGGACTGATTAAATAATGAGTAAGTGCTAGATAAAGAATTAAGGACAAACATAGATATTTGAATTTTAAGTTTTATATAGTTTCCTTTATAGTCACACCAAGAAATTATTTTGAGCCTCTCATTTTGTAAAAATCACAAGTGAGTTTAAATAATCCCATATTCCAAATTTTGAAGACTCCAAACTAATGCTCCTTTACTGTAATTCAGGAGTCAGCAAATGTTGCCTGCAAAGGACCAGATAGTAAATACATTTTAGGCTCACTCAACCCTGCCCTTATAGCACAAGAACAGCCATCGTGTAAATGAATGGCTATGACTGCATTCCAATAAACCAGTATTTGTGGACACTGAAATTTGAATTTCAAACTGTTTTCAAGTGTCATGAATTTTTTTTTCATTTTTTTTCTATCATTTAAAAAACATTAAAATCATGCTTAGCTTGTGGACTATGTGAAAACAGCAGCGCAGGATTTAGCCAATGGGCTGGAGTTTGCCATCCTGTTGTAATTACATATTTTGGGAAAGAACGTGATAATGTAGGGAATCCAGAATTGGCAAAATACCCCTCTGGGATTTTTGCTGGTTGGTTTGTGTTTGTTTTGTTTGGACTGTTTTCATCTACCATTCTCCTACAGGCTTTCACCACACACCAGGGACCCTTAGTCCCAGGGGCAAGGGCACACACTGGGTTTAAGCATAACTAAGACAAGCCTGACACCTTGAGGTCGCTCGGCAAGTGGCAGGTGCTACCCTGGAAATTAACTAGCAAGGCACATCTCCCAGTAAGTGTGAATCCAGGAGGGGGCAGCCATGCAGACTCAACCCAGCAGTGAGCCAGCCAGCAGCTGTTGTTATTGTTGAAATGGGGCAGGATAAAGTCCGCAGATCACTGTCTGACTTCTCTCTCCAAAGGGCTGTCTTTACGGGCATTTCATTCTATTAAAAAAAAATAATAATAACTTCCAGAGCCTTCCCAAATGAGACCAGAGGGCTCCAAGGACATTCAAGACTTTCCCTGGGCTGGTTAAATCTCCTGCCTGCAGCTATTAATACATTCCAGAGGAGAGAATGGGGAATGGAGCCCAATGGCCCCATCCTTCTCCTTTCAGAGACTTACAAAGGAAAAAGAAGGAAAACGTATAGGGACATAACTGCTATTGATAATCAGCACTTTGACTATGGGACTTAAAGAAGCAAAGACCAATGATCAAAAATGTTACAACAGGCTTGAAGTAAATAGGATTATTCATCACCTGTCCAGGTCAGACTCTGCCAGGGCCATTATGCCATTATGCTGGGATGCAGTTTTCCTCATTTTTGGAAAAGGATTGAAGAGGCCGTTCTTTCCATACCCCTTTCTCCAGAAGTGTTTCCCAAAACATATGAGACGCGAGCTATTCCTAGCTTGTAAATGATCTGGAAAGACAATCCTACAGCTTGCTAATGCATCCTTTTTTCTCATTCAAAGCCATCCTTCCGTGTTTCAAGGAAAATAGACAGAGGAGACACTTGGAAAGAATTTGGGGGACGCCAGGGTTTACCAGAGGTTCTGTAGTCACAAAAGTACTTTTGTATTTGTGACAACCTCCTCTTTGGAGGTAACAAGCCCGGAGGGTCTCATATGCATGCTGAATGTCCATAGCTACCAGTTCAATTGGGCTAAAAAGCAGGGAGGACCTCAACTGCCAGTACCCCCAACACAGGCAGAGAACTGGGTAGCTGGGTATAGGTGAGCTGGCAGAGGATTTTAAAGGTCCTGATGCCAGTGAATCTCCCACACTGACAACTCGGAGCAAGCACAGAGAGGAGTGACTCTAGAGCCTGTACTTAGAGAACAGGACCCTGAATCCAATCCAGAGCTGTGCCATTAAGACCGGGGTGACATTAAGTGCTTCGTTTTGTGGCCCTCAGTGAAGACTGTAGATCATGCCACTCCTCTCTCTCTCTCTCTGGGCTGCAGTCCTGTCTCATCCCTGGGGGAGATGGCAGTGTGGGAAGGAATCAACTCTCACACACATCTGTACCCACAGCTGTGGGCAGCGCCATGTGAGGGGGCTTGCCACCTTTCATCAAGGACCCAAAAAAACTGAGCAGTATTCAAATCAAGTTTTCAGGGCCCAAACTGCAGTTCCTGAAGATCTGCAGCCTTCCTAGGGAAATGCTCACCTTCCCTCTGCTTCCCTCACCTTCCCTCTGATTCCACTTTGCTGCCAACCTTACCTCTCGTAATTTACTGCTGTGCTGCGCTCTGCGCTGCAGCCCCTGGACAAGGCAAGTAACCGAGACCTTGGTTGTGTTAACCAGGTGGTATTTGTCCCTGATCCCCAGCTTGGGGTGCAAATGTGGTTTTTAGTGGGGAGCATGATTTTAGTATGACCTTTCCTACATCCTTTTTGGGCCTTACAATTGAAAAGCTCTGGAACCTTCTCTGGAGACCTCTCTTCTACACATCGGATCCCCAGCAGTCGGGATACAACAGTCGGGATCCCCAGAGTGATTCTACAGGGATGGGAACACTGTCGCTGGGGCCAGTGCAGGAGCCTCTGGGAGGCTGTGCCCTGGGCACTTGGCCTTGAAGGAGGTAGCAACTGGGGCCTCCCCAAAGGACTCTGTCTGAAGGGCCAGTCCAGCATTGCAGGAGTTAATGTGGGACCGCGCGTAAAGGGAAGGGGAAAAAAGTTGGA